GCCTCATGACACTGATGGTCAGAAGCCCCCCCTTCTCAGCGGGGAGAGACAAGAAGGAACCGCAGGGCTAGGGGTCTCTGTCAGGACTTATCTCCGGGCACCTCTGAAAAAGCTCTGTCATCCTCACAGTACCGTACAAGATACTGTGTGTACTTTTCAGGGCTGGCACTGCTATCTTTAGGATTCACGTTGCTTTTCTCAGGTGCTTGCTTGTCAGAGGTGTGGGTCAGGCATGGCTGTCTCTTGCAGTTAATTCCCTCCTGCCAGAGATTAAATGCTGAATGATGTGATGTATATAAATACATCACAAGTTTAGTGACATGCATGCTGTTCAAGGGTTGAAACTGTACCGATGTCTCAGAGACAGAGGGGAAATGGAAAAGCAGCCACTCTGTTTCCATGACTATCTTTGCAGCCAGGGAAGTAATAAATCCGAAGAAACACTTAACTGAATGGGTACACTGTGAGACGAGAGATGACACTGCTAAGGACTGCATTACCAGTCAAAGGAGTCAGATCAGGATGTTCCAATGATTACCTAATTTCTTCATCTTTTCTGTCAATAGCTGTTGGGCTAGAGCGACTTCATTTCATTTGGCTGCTTCTCGCTTCTTTTAAGCGGTGAGAGGGCAAATCCTGCTAGTGCCACACTGCAGCACCGAGAGCTCCAGCCGCAGCAAACCCTGTGACATTATGCTGCATTATGCTGAGTGAGCCAGACGCTTCTGCTGAGTCCCAGCATTAATGATGTATCAGTGTTTCACCAGCTCCCATTCCATTAAAAGAAATGACAAGATTGGTGTTCGGTACCGGTACCTCTGTTTCTTATCTGCGTGGAATTTAAAGTGCCCATAATTCAACAGCAAATGATACTCCTGTTTTAAAAAAGATCTCTGTAACCAGTGGCTGATCCCATTACACATTCTTAGCCCCTTAATGTGTTGCTTTCCCATATGGGTACACTGTCCTTTACCATTTGCCAGCGTGGGCCTGGGAGCGGAGTCTAACGAGGGAGGGAAACGAGGAAACCCAGCCTGCTGTGTGGAGTCACACCTTGCCACATGTACGCGGCGGGGCCTCCAGTGGGTGTGCGTGTGCCACACACACAAGCACAGCCATGTATTTCTTATTCCTCAGGAGATACCAGTGACCACATTCACATGTCGCGGGATCACTAGGTTTAAAACAGCATAGGGGCTGGAACAAACCACTGCAAGTCTGGGGTTTCAGTCTCAAAGACAGACTGGACCGTGGAGCTCCGCCATTGCTGTCCCTCTGGTGAGGCCATTCCCCACCAAATCCACTAATCTTACATGATAGCGCACTCTCCACATCACAAGGAACTGGGTTCCCGATAGCACAAAGAGGAGAAAAGACATCTGGAAACGCATCCCTCTTTCTCACAAGATTTTCCTTCCAGTGTTCCCGCACTCCTTCATGTCCCATCAAGTAGGAAGGGAAACAATCATTTTCTACAGAAAAAAAAAAACAACTAGGGACTTAATGATATTACACCTTAGTCAAAATCCAGAGAGACGGGGAGAAGAGGGAAGGATGTTTGTATGCTCTAAGAGCATTTCCCATTGGTTAGCTCTAGGCCTTCAAACACGCCTGGCTATAGGAAACACTAGAGACTGGGGCTTAAGTGGAATTAGGCTGTCTGAATAAGGGTTGCATTTTTATATATGAATAGGAAAGAACAAAATACAACAACAGCAATAAAACAAGCACAGTTTTTATTAGCCATGCAATTGTTTTATAGCCACTGGTAATGAGAATAGGCTTATCTGCTGATTAAGTTCTGTTCTTTCTTTTTCTGAAGAAAAAGGGACTTGTATTTATTTTATCTCCCAGGATCTAATCTGAATCTCACTGTATTTACTAAAAAAGATTTCACTCTGCAGAACTGTGGAACCAAACCTGCTTTCAGGTACATTAGCAACATCTAAAACACTGTATCACAAACAAATAATGGTGAAGACAGAGACACTGATAAAACCATCTATGCTGCTATTTGTTCTTTAGAAACTGATGTTTTACTTCAAAAATTATAGCATAAAAGATGCCGTGTGTATCCCATCACAAATAAAAAACGTTTGACCCCTCATCTCTTAGACACTATTGCAAGGTTTCCAGTAAAGTACTTGTGCACAGATTTATATCTACCTAATCTACGCACAAAAATTCCACATGCACATGCAAACTTTAGATTTTCTTGAAAAAAATGACCAGTTTATCAGAGGCCATACATGTAAATAAATGTCCTATGCATGTACAGTAAATATCTGTACACTAGGCATATACTCAATTTTCAAAACCTGGTCCTAAAGTTTTATCAATATCAACATCAGGATGAAGCTAGGCTATAAAATAGTCAAGACTGAATTTTTTCTGCTAATCCGTTTCCACAGTCCAGTCTCAGTAAGCAGAGGAGCAGTTCCATGGGCTCTGACCCTGCCTGTCTCACTAAAGCACAACTCTAATACCAAAGATAAAGCCCATTTTCTCCATACATGAACTCATGCAATAATTCTCATACTGTGCACCATATTTTACTAACAAATAGGAGGCATCACTGCCTTCACAGAGGCTAATACAAAGCCAGCTGAGCGTTCTCTGTCCAGATATTCCCATGTCCAAGTGTGATTAGCACTGTCTTGTCAAATTTAGCTCTAAGCCATTTGTGAACACCTTCTTTGTTTATAGTAGCACAGTCAGATCTGCACAGACCTCTGTGTTTGCTCTTCTGTGTATCCTATTAACAGTGCATTACATTTCAAGATGTCACACTACAGAAAGCCAAAAAAGCACTTTTAATCAATTTCAGCCAAACCAAGTCAATTAATTTCACTGTGGTGCTTGGTATATATTCTAAGAAAACTCTCTTGTGCTTTTAGTTACACTGCTGTAATCCACAATAACTGTGCAAGAATTATTTGCACTGCATTTGAAATTGTTTCACTGTAATTATACAACAATTCCTCTAAAAACCGAAGTGTGGCTAAACAGAATTGAACCTTGTAGGTTTCTGTGTATGACCTGCTTGGAAAGTGATAGGTGGAAATAAATAAATCTACATTAATCTTTAGAGAAACTGTCAAGCAGCTGAAAATTGACAGAATGCCTAGGCACTTTCATTATTGCACAAGAGAGTAAATAAAAATATATAACATATTTTTTTCAGTTTTGGTTCTACTATAATATTTACAGCACAATGTATTAGATTCTGGCTCTCAGCCTTGCTTAACTCAAGGTAGTCCAGAGTTACTTACATATCTCTAAGAATAACCTTCAGCTCAACATTTATGCTTTTTCGTTAAACTCTGAAGTACAAAAAATCTGAACTAAAAGCTAGAATTAAGGCATAGAAGGGATAAAATTGTTTTAATTCCATGAGTCAAGAATACCTGAAGGGACTGCCTCAATCAGACTTTCTGGTGAATTCAAACCTGTGCTTTCCACTACTGTATTCAGAAAAGTTTGTTAACAGTGTTCTATCAATGCTGTTTCTCCAGCTGTGTGCTTAGTGACTGTATGTAGCTCCTGCTTCTTCGTTTTAGCACAATTAAACTGTAGCTTGGATAGCAATGTATGAATGCACTGTTACTTTTTATCTGCACACAAATTGAAGGAGAAAAGACAACCACGACAAAGAACTAAATCAATTTTCTAGCCTCTATTTGACAATTTCTAGTCTGTGTATCAAGCTCACCTGGAATACGGCAAAATGTTAGGTTCTTCTTTCCATGGTGCCCATGACAATAAGGTATAATAGCAAATACAGACATAGGTACTTTTCTCAGTAAGTAGGACTGCATTACTAAACTACAAGGCCAAGAAGAGTCCTCTAGTGTGAAAATATGCAGAGGAGCAACAGCTGTTAGTCATTATTTTCTCCTTATCCTTTCAACACCTCCGTTTCAGTTTGTTTTCTAAGGGGTAAGTCACACTCTCCTAGGACATTTTCTCATTTGGGGCAGGTACTAAAAAGAATTCTAAAACAATTAAGGGTCACTGGCCAAAGACAGCCCTTCTTAATTTCTTCTTTCGCTGCTCTTACTGCAGATGATAAAACTCACCTTTATGCTTTATAAAATAGTGTTGCCGTTATGCTCGAATGGTCCTTTGTCTGTGCTAATATGATGGAGGATGTTTCTGGTTTTCTTTAGACTACCTACTTAGCCTTTTTGTTTTCTTTGTGTTCAGCCTGTGTTATATTTCCTGAAAGAGAAATACCAACTACAAAAATGATTGCTCTCCCTTCATTTAGGCAAAAGAAAAATCTGACATCAGACAGCTTTTAAACATCTATTTTACACTTTACCTCACTTGACAAGGTTTCACACTAGCCATTTGGAAAGAGAAGAAAAATGGATACAACCTGCCTTATGATCAAACTCACCTTATTGCACAGCTTGCTTTACTCCATTCCCCATCCTCTATTTCCCTTCGAGTATAAGATGAGCATGTACCAGGAGTCTGAACCTTTTGTTCACTCTGATTTGAACTAGTCTGACTCTAAACCACGGTGAAAATAAGGTGGGAAAAACACAAACAACATTGTACAACACCGTGCAGCAAAATTACATTGGAAATCTTATTCTTTTAAACATCTAACATACCCCTAAAGTCCTAACAATATATTTTCTTAAAGTAAGTCCTAAAGTCATAATGATTACCAATTTTTCCAAGTGGGCAAATGGCAGAACCCCCAAAATGACTGAACATATCCACTGATCAGGATGGAATATATCACAGTGTGCGCAAGCTTAAAAGCATGCACCTTTTCATCTGTTTTCTCCTTCATAGTAAGTGGTTGTTTTTCTTCAGAAAGGCACTTCAGTCTGCACCTGGGTTTGACCTGATCCAAAAAAAGTGCTATTGGCATATTTAACTAAGTTTATTATGTTTCCCGCACAACTTCTAACACGTACCGTTTTTACAACTGGTACTGCTGATACTGCTCTCTATTTCGTGAACTGGATTTTGCTGAAGATATCATGGAGAAGGTACAAGGAACCATCTCTCTGCAGCTGTTCTTCGGCAGAGCGAAGGCAGATGCACTGCTCGTGGCTAAGCTCAAACAGGCAAGATACGATGCCGAAGCATACAGTGCCTTGGACTGTAACATGACTCTTTAATGGACCGATAAATGAACTGGGGTTGAAACACTGCTTCTGAATCTAGGCCATCGTGACCTCACCATCCTTCCTAGCTTCCCCAGGGTTGTGATTATTATTATCTACTAGCTTTTCTATATGATCACTGTTTTTGTTTCCGTCCCCCTCACACACATTAGAGATTGCAGCCTCAGAAAAAATGAGACACCTCTCAGAAATAAAAATCAGCTCCCTAAATACTGGGGAACAGCGAAACGGCACGAGTTTGGCCTAAACCATGTGCATGCAGGAAGAGCATGTGCTGCTGGCAGCGGAATAATTTGTCAGGAGCACATGAAGAGGAATCAATGAAGGCACATTTCCTCGGCAAAAATACCCTGTAAATAAAAAGCCGCTCTGCTAACTAAAGAAAATGATGTTATCTTAGGGAGAACGTGCCATGGAGCGTATCGGGAGGTGACATCTCAGCGAACAAGGTGCCCCCGAAGCGTCGTTTCCCCCGCTGCCCCGGGGGGGGAAATTCTCTTTGCCGGTGCCCGAGCGCCCTGTGTGAGAGACTTGGGGAATCGCCCCCACCTGCCGGCAGAGCCCCTCTCACG